TCATGTCTTCTTCTGTTATTCAAGAAATTTGGTGCTAAACCTACACTGATGTAACAAAATAATGATTGCTTGCCACCTCAGGTTCATTTTGCACAAAATACATATCCTAAGAGAAATTAATGCTCAGGTTCACCCATGAACCCATTATGTTTCTTATCGAGCATATCGCTTCAGTCTTGGGAGACTTATTTCGATCGGTCTCGATCTATAAGAACTCCGAGGACACACTTACAAGTATTCAAATGCCAAGTGTCCACTCATGGCTAAAAAGTTGCCCATATCCCGTCACTAGTCTATGCTCAATAGTTTCCTCAGATTTAATTCAAAGCTATCAAGAGAGAAGTAAAACACGGTAGCCCATTTGTAGCAAACCAAGCTAGAGGACTTTTGAGTTTTGAGAAAATATTCGGTGGTTATAGGGTACCATGCTAACACGCTTATTTGGTGCTCTCATCACCAATCAGAAGTAGCCATTTCAATAAAAGGGCAGGTTTTGTCAGAAAATACTACACCAGCTTAATAGCCTGACTTGGCTGACGGAAAAAACAAACAGTTTTCTTCTGTTTTCTCTCTCCTATAAGCTTTCTCTCTTTTGCAAGCTTTTTCTCCTCACAGTACTCAATTAAGTCCTGTGAATTTTTCTCTTTCAGTATCTCTCTCATCCTTTCCATGAAAAATCAAATTTTAAATTCCGCGCCTATTATTTTGAATTTTGGGTTTCTACCACAAAAATGTTAATAGCATAGTAAGTGTTTCTTATTTCTCATTTTAAATTTTCCCACTTGACTTTCTTGTTTCTCTTTTTTGTCTGTCCAAAATCCAGCCATCATTTTTATAACTTCTCTTCAATTAATCCTTTTCCTCTTTTTATCGCTGAAGCTTAATGGTTCATTCCTTTATCTATATTTTGATGGGTTCGGCATAGTCTTTTGTGGTTGAAGTTCATGAGTTATAGTGCTATTGATGTTTCAATGGTGTGAATGAGGATGAGGATCTAGGTTTTTTTTGCCATTGAAGGATGAGATATAAGGTAATTATGGGAAAACTATTATGAAGCATTCCTAACTAGCAAGAGTAACATTGGCCTCTATAGTGAATGTCCTGTGAACCAGTTCGGGCATCTTCAATGGCGAAAGAGTGCCCGAGTTTGAGCATGAGTTTGAGATCTTGGATGATTAGAAGAATAGACCAATGTGGTTTAACATGTGGGAGCTTGGCTCCATGGGTAATTGATGTGCGTATCCTTCCAGTATAACGTAGTGTCATTCCTTTGCATGGGCCCAAAGTGTTGCATGTCTTGCTTCCATAGCCTCAGCAACTAGAGGGTCCATGTCATCTTCTAAAATTAGTAGCGCCTCCACAACTGAGTCATCCTAAGAAGAGGATCTAGTTATCAATAGTGATGTTTTTTTTAGCATTGAGGTCTTTGCTCAATGTTAATTGTGAACTTTGTTTGTATTGTTGAATTGAAAAAAGAAAAAATAGTTTTGTTATTCCATAAATTAATAAATAATTTTTTTTGTGAATAAATTATTTTATGAATTAGATATAACTTTGGTTTCATGTGCTATCTATGGATTAATTTCAAAATTCTTTCAGAAAAATGAATAGTTATAGCAGTTTTTTTGATCAATTTGGTGACTTGTGAATTAATATCTATGTAAAAATGACTCTCATTTCCAGATACTTGTGAAATTTTATGAATTGTGAGTTGAGAATTGATAATACTTTATTTCATTCAAAATATTCAGTATTATTATGTTTTATAATTATTATATATATTTATTTATTATATAACCGATCAAATTAGTTGACCCAAAGGTTGAACCAATAAACCGTTGATCTGATCCCTTTGCCGGTTCGATGACCAGTCCGATTATGATAACATTACTTCTTATAGCTGTCCACCACTTGATCTATGTTTATCACAAATGTTAAATAAGACCAATAAAACTAATGTGATATACTTGCACAGATTTATGTTCCTTCTATATATCAAAATTTAGATATACAAATATTTCAAACGGCTTATGCCAAAAAAATCGGCACCAAGCAACACACTGACATGTTTTCTGCTCCTTGATCTTAAGCTTGTGGTCAGCTTCACTGAACAATATTGGAATACTATTTTTTATATACATAGCAATCAAGCTCGAGTGAAAATGACTTCAAGATCTGGATCATGTCAGTTGAGCTTCAAATAGAATGCATAAAATCAGCTCAATACACTCGACCATTCACCTTACCCAAATGAACAACCACTAGTTTAACAAACAATGACCACTCATTTCTTCTCTTTCCTATGTACTCTACGCTCCACAGACTATGGCGGGGACTCTTACCACCCCATGGACGACAGAAAAATGTAGATCAGATTGAGAAAATGTAGCAGGCCACCTCCATTTCCTGCCCATCAACTTCCCAGCTCAAGCATTTCTTTTAGCAGAAAAAATGGTAGAAATGGACGAATGAAGGAAGAGAGATAATGGGTAGAGAGAGAGAGAAATTTGAAAAGTAATGAGAACATTTTAGAGAGATGATGCAGCTTAAAGATAGAGAGAGAGAGTAAGAAAATTTTTTGTGGAAGCAAATGAAGGACGGCTGAAGTGATAGACATGCAATAGAGAGAAAAAATTTTCTCAATCCAAAAAAATAAAAAACTTTACGTCCGTTAATTAAGTTAGGTCATTTGGATGACATGACATCTTTTTGACAGACAATTAAGCTGATGTGGTATTTTTTGGTCCTTTTATTAAAGTGGCAATTTCTGATTGGTGATGAGCACCAAATAAACGTGTCAACATGATAATATTTCTCGTTTTGACTACTGAAGCAAGAGTTGGCATAGGATAAGACTATACACTTTTGACTACTGAAGGAAGAGTTGGCATAGGATAAGACTATGCCCTGTAACCATTACAATCTATGTCAGACTTTTTCAATGAAACTTATGTTCCGTTTGACACGATAAAAAAGTGAGAGGATGAGAAGTTGAAAAGATGGAAAGTTTGAGAAATAAATAAAACATCATGTTTGGTAAGAAAGAAAATTAGGAAATATAGAAAAGTGGATGGATTAACTTTCCTTTCAACTTACTGAATTCAATCCATCCAAAATAAAAAAGAAAGTGGATGAAATTAATGTATACATAATATATGTATATATAAACAAATATATAAACAAATTTTAAAAATAAATTAAAATAAAAAATAAAAAAAATTAAATTAAAATTTTTTTTCCCATCTTAACTAAAGGTGAAAATTTTTGACTCAACACGATGACACGACTCGAAATCGATACGAAAATAAATAAGTCAACTCTCAACTCGACACGACACAATTAGTTAAATGAGTTAAGTTAAGTTTGACTAATATTCGACACAAACCCATAATAACTCAACACCAATATGACACGATCCGACTCAATTGTCACCCTTAATCTTAACCAACACAAAAAAAAAAAAAATTTATTTTCTATCCATTCAACCAAATACAAAAGAAGGAAAATATATCTTTCCTATTTTTCATCCTTGAAGGATAGGAAGTGTATCATCCCTATTTTTCATCCTTCCTACTTTACGAGAAAATATTCACTACTTGGCAGGTACCAGACTGTCATTGACAACTAGTACTCATTACCAATCTACAGATGCCACCTCATATTCTGTCATTGGCAGGTACCAAGCTGTCATTGACAGCTGGTACTCATTACCAATCAAGAGATGTCACCTCAATGTAGGCTCTCCTTAGATTTCTCTCTCTCCACTGGCTATCTTGAGGTGACATCTATTGATTGGTGATGAGTACTAACTGTCAATGACAACCTGATACCTGTCAAGTATCGAATATTTTCTCACTACTTTACATCATCCTTACCAAACGAAGCATTAAGTTTTCATACCCCCAAAAAAATAATAAAAATAGGTTAATTGTAAGTTGCACCCCGAAAGATAGTTTGAATCTCAATTTACACCCCCAAATATCAAAAATCTCAATTTACACTCTCAAATATAAAAATTTGTATCAATGTACACTCCTAAAGATAAAAAATCTCAATTTGTACCCTTAAAGATAGAAATTTGTATCAATGTACACCCCCAAAGATAAAAAATCTTAATTTACACTCTCAAAGATAAAAATTTGTATCAATGTGCATCTAAAACTAAATGGATAAATTATACCTAGATCCCCTAATACTTGTCACTTAATCATTTGGACCCCTTCACGTTTAGAATATTACTCTCACATCTTATGGCATTTGTGCACGTGTAACACGTAACCTTTTTTCGTTGATGTATGTTAATATAACCGTTAAAAATATGATTTTATCCTAATAAAAAATTATAATTTCATATTATATTTATTTTATGGGTTCGATATACTATAAAGTTTAAAATCAAGCTTACCATTTGAATGTCCAATAGAATGTATATATTTATATAACATTTTTTATATCTAATGCAATATATCACTCAATGTGCAAACCATGTATTCTATTAGACATTTAAATGGGTAAACTTGATTTTGAATTTTAGAATATATTTGACCCATAAAATAAAGGGTAATATGAAATTATATTTTTTTATTAGGATAAAATTATATTTTTTAACGGTTATATTAACAGATATCAACGAAAAGGGGTTACGTTTTACACATGCACAAACGTCATGATGTAGGAGTAATATTCTAAATGTAAAGAGGTCTAAATGATTAAGTGACAAGTATAAGGGATCTAGGTATAATTTATCAATTTTATTTTAGGTGTATATTGATACAAATTTCTATTTTTGAGGGTGTAAATTGAGATTTTTTATATTTGAGGGTGTAAATTGAGATTTTTAATTTTTGGGGGTATGCATTGATAAAAATTTCTATTTTTGAGGGTATAAATTAAAATTTTTAATCTTTAAAAGTATAAATTCATATTCGAATGATTTTTCGGAATAGAATTTATGAGTAACTCTAATAATAATGAATCAAACATCATTTAAAACATTTCATTTAAGCCAGGGGAGGGCATTTTGGGAACCTGAAAAGGTATTCAGTTGGTCATCTCCGCAAAGCACGCACAGCGGAGAAGACCGAAGACACCATTTCTCGGCAGTCATAACGCGTACAAACACCGCCAACGCAACAGTGACCACCACATGTCTGCCACTCCATTACCACCATCTCTTCCCTCTTCTTCCACCGGTGCTACGAACAAAACCCTAAATTCCTCTTCACTCCTCCCGAAACTCCCAGACATTCAAATTCAACAATCTCTGAGACACAAGACTTCAATTCGATGCGAGCTCAGGAGCTTCGAGAGTTCTCCTAAGTGGACCGTTGATTGCGTCTCGGGAAGCGATCCGATTCACATTATCCTCACTCCTCCACCTACTCCGTTCTCTATGGTCTCCTCTGTGGCGTTGGATTCAAATGTGAGGAGTTCTAAGAGGGTTTGCCTCTTTTACTGTGCAGAAATGAAGGATCTCGCTGAGAGGATTGCTGCTGAATCTGACGCCATTGAACTTCGCAGCATTACTTGGAGGTATTTGTTCTTTCAATTTCATATAAGATAAAGAGAAATCGTATGCGTTGATTCTGCATGTGAAATTATAAAGGGCACCTTATAAGCTCATTTCGTGCTTCATCATCTTGAGACAAAATGGTTTAAGTCTTGCGTAGTTCAAATAATTCATGATGTTGTTATGAGATCAAGCTCTCTCTCTCTCTCTCTCTCTCACGTATCTTGGTCCTACTCTGCCAGCTGCAGGCTCAGGTCGGAGAACGGTGGTGTTGGTTTGGTTAATTTACCATACATTTTGAATTAACTCAGACGAAGAAGCAAAAATTTATGTTCGACTATGAGAAAGTAATATCATTATTTTATCTTATGTGAAACCAATGTAATTTTTTGTAAAGAAGAAAATGAGTTGTTTGGCACAATATAGAAGCTGCTCTTGCCCTGATTAATGAGGTATGGACTTCACCTAGGAGCCAAAGGCACGTACTCACTGATCAGGTCTTAATTGGACCAATGCTCTAATTGGTATCTCACCATGCCGAGTGCCTAGATTCACAGGATAAGAGAAATCTTTTCTTAAATAACTGATGAACCTGCTCTCAAAATTTCATACCATTCCCATTGTTATTTTGTGACAATTTTTCTTCTTTTTAATAACCAAGACCCATTCAATGAATAACACGGTGTTAGTGAATTAGTTTTTGTTATTAGAGACTTTTGGTGTTTTTCTAGTGTTTCTTTCTCCGATTTTAAAATTGGAGCGCTTGCGCTAACATATGCTGTTTAATTATGTCCTAGGACATTTGAAGATGGATTCCCCAATTTATTCATCTCTAATGCTCATGGGATTCGTGGACAGCATGTTGCTTTTCTTGCTTCATTTAGTTCTCCAGGAGTAATTTTTGAGCAACTCTCAGTTATATATGCACTGCCAAAGCTTTTTGTCTCCTCGTTCACACTCGTCCTTCCTTTTTTCCCCACGGGCACCTCTGAGCGCATGGAGGAGGAAGGAGATGTTGCGACAGCTTTCACCCTTGCTAGGATCTTGTCAAACACTCCAATTTCAATGGGGGGACCCACTAGTCTAGTGATTTTTGATATCCATGCCTTGCAGGTTGACACCTATATCTGCTGTTGTAAATAATTTCATGTTTTTCTCGTGTGGTTCATTTACTGATTATGGTCATAAGGTTTTTATGTTGGTCTCTTAAGAAGCATAAACCTTTCCAATTCCCTGACCATCTTTGTTTCTTTATTGCTCCATCTCAGGAAAGATTCTACTTTGGTGATAATGTTTTACCTTGCTTCGAGAGTGGGATACCTTTGCTTAAGAATAGGCTTCAACAACTCCCTGATTCTGATAACGTAAGATTTTTTTTGATCAAATTTAGTTTGAGAAACTGTGTTTGTGTTCGGAATTTAATTCCAGAATGTAGACCTTTTGATCTGCATTCTTGTTTCTTTTAAATCAGCTAGTTGATGTAGTTTAGTAATGCTGGTCCTAATTTGAATCAATGCCTCCTTTTAACACAACTTAGTTGAACTTTAAAGACATTTTCCCTCTGCAACTTGGCATGTTATGATACTGGCTGATAAAGGCCTTTACCCTGCCAATATGGGATGTTGGGAAGGGTAACTTACATTGGTCTATTTTGCATAAAATGGCTACCGTCAGAGTCAGGTCTGCATTACCAATCTATGGCTGCCAGCATACATGTTTTCCATGCAAGCTGGCAATAAAGGTGCCAGCAGATTAAAAAGTCATTTCCCATTGTTGGTCACACCAGTGTAGGGTTGGGTTATTTTTTTTCTTTTTTTTTTTTGTTGGGTGGTGTTGTGTGTGTGTGTGTGTGGGTGGGTGGGGGGGGAGGGGAAGAGAGGGGGGGCACTAGACCTTGTCTAAACCTACTCTCATCATTTATGCGCAATGGTTGCCAGCAGACTTGGACATGTCATTCTCTTGCTTGATCACTTGTATATACCATCAAACTTAGCAATGGTAACAGTTCGAATACCTCTGTCGAGAGTCACATATGATGCTTTGAACCATGATTTTGAAAGTTGGATAGGTAGCCAGTTATTGAATTCAAGTATGTTTCTGTTTGTTTTGTCTTGACATGCTGTTCACATGCAACAAGTTATTGTGCCCTCTTCGGTGATGAAGATGTCCTTCCTCAAATTTTACATCTATATGTTAATTTGAGTTTCTTAGCTAAACTCAGTCTGATGTGGTGAAATTATGT